AGCTTCGGTATCTTAATCTTAAGGTGTCCTAGGTACAAAACGCACACCCCCTCTACCCCCGGAAAAAAGCTGCAACCGAAGCGTGATTACTGGCACGTCAAGTCGAGTCCCCTTTAGGGAGGGGAGGTGCCAGTGACATCAAACCTTCCATGGGGTCCAAGTCTTACACAATAGAATTCTATCTGTGTACACTTGTCTTTTGAGAATGTTTACCTAAACCACGTTATCAATTCCCAAAAAAAACACAGCAGGATGCCGTTATGTCGATTAAACAACCCTTGTCATGCAACACTTCATATCAATTATTTAATTGTGTATATGTTGAACGTAAAAGTAACGAAAATCATCAGTTATGGAATACTGCCTTGATGTAAAACCATTTTCTCACAACTAACAGAAACGAAATGCATGGGACTGACTGAGGAGACTTCGTCAATAATAAAAAGAAACAATTAGCACTTTCAAACAGTCCTGCTGTGTTTTACTTTTCGTATTGTATCATGAAACAAAAGTGCATCAATGGTTTCCCTTTGACATACAGACAAGACATTTGGATTATTTCAAACATTTTCTCATCGAATTGCTTTTGTATGTTTTAGTGATACACGAAACATTTAACCACACGTTAATCTGCACCGATAAATTTCTGCAAACACTGCAACTTATTACTTACTGCACTAAAATTTGCTTGTTATGTTATCAAGTGTATTAGTACTTTGTAGCTCGTACGGGTTTGTTGTGCATTAAGAGTAAAGAGAAATTAGGGTTTAGTCAGTTCAAGTTCATTGAACTGACTGAAAGCACACTACTTTTTTACTGCGAAACACGAGCAATACTTCGCCAGTTGACAAACTAACGAGGGTATGCTATCATTTCCACGATGAAATAGTTACTATTTATTGTTTGAGAGAACTCTTTAAACTCAGTTATAAAAGTCGCCCAATACACGAGGTATGAATGCTGAGTAAACAAACTCCCGGGATTAGCAATCGTTTCAACGATAAAATGGCTACTACTTATTGTTTGCTGTGAAAATAACGAAAATCTACAAAAGAGAGATCTTACTACTACTACCAAGACAAAGTTGACAACTTTTTAAAATCAGCTATCTATAAAACTTGCTCAACATGGTTGATTTGTTTTTTTTCATTATATTTCTTCACACACCTTGCGCTATTCCTTGCCCCTTGTGGAGTCCCAGTGGGTTGGTCCCTCATCTCCTTTTCACCCCCACACATTGCTGCAATCGTGTAAGAGATAGTATTGGACACGGGAAAAGGGGTCGGATTGCGACACCGCAAAAGCCCAAATATTTGTCGTGGTTAATTGATTGAAGTACGCTTATCAGCACAAAACGTAATAAATCTTTCATCTACATTGTACCAGTGAAATCTCGGTATCTTACTTATCTTAGCTATCTGCCATCATCATGATCCGCTATTGTTGTTTTTAATTCGTCTGGGATTTGTGATTATTTTAGTCTGTCCTGCATCATCGTAGTGAGTTGAGTACCAAAAGTGACATTTTTGAAAATTTCAATCGACGTTTCTTCTTTTAACAGCTGTTGTACAAAGGAAGCACTTCTAGATTAAGCCAGGAGAAGAGGTTATCACTGATTGGGTTACTGTTTGTTTGTTGAGTGGTCTGCCGATTTGATTAGTTCGCCTTTAATCTTCGTTTCGTGTGAGCATTTCATTGCCAAGAGCTATTGCTTTATAACACTCGCCATGACAGAGAGAGTTTATAAAATTGCCTTGCTTGGCAATGAAGGAGTTGGGAAAACAGGTAAGGAGGTTTCATTTACTGAATTTATATTTGTGTTAAAGGGTCGAAGAATGGGAAATTTAAAACTGTCTTCTTAGAAATCGGAACGTGTCATTGTCTAACAAAGATTTTTTGCTCCCATTTGGAATCACGTTTTCACTGTTTATTGACAAGCGATAGCGCTAGCGACTTATAGCTTGCCCTTCTTATATACTGGTTCGTTTGTGTTGGGTCATTTTAGTATCTCGATATCCGTGTTTAATACAAGAAACGATTGTGTTCCACTTGTAGAAGATCTAAGCTCGCAAGAGACTTCTCGAATGATTTGGCCTTGCCTTATGCGTTCGCACTCGTTAATTTCTCGCGATTTGGCGGCGATCGACCAGAGGCAGAAGATTATTTACTGATTCTTAATATTGTCTAGGTTTGCTTTCAAAGCGCCAGAGACTGGGAAGAAGTTTGGTGAAAGTACGTCAGGTTGTTGTAAACTTGCATCATTCGCTTTACTTCTGTCTGTCTGGGATATGTTAGATCATCGATCTCGATAGAAATGTAGGGGATTTGACCTAGAAAGGCGCGTTTATCAAGCTCGGTAGAAGACTACTTTAATGTCCAATATGTACTAGAAAATGCCAGTTTATGTATTTGTCAAACGAGAGGACTTAGAAACGAATTGAAGCCGCGGGAAAGGAAGTTTTTGTGTAGCAAATTTAGAAATAGCTCAGTTATGCCTTACACTTTCATTTTACATGAAATGAATTATTGCATGAAGTAACTTAGAACTGAGGATGCTTATTAAAAGTAATTTCCTGATTGCAGCAGTAGTACCGTTCTGTGTAGGTTTAAGACGGAATATCACTATTTCCTCCATGGAATGAAAGAGACGTTTGATACTATGTAATCGCCGAGAGGAATTAGCAGTTGTTAGCGAGGTCATTGATCGATTGTCCGGCAAATATAACTGCTGTTTAATTTTGGTAGGCATCATCATCTGTCGAGAACGTACTTGACTTCTAGGTCTTGGATCAGAGCAGAGAGAAATTTGCAATCAAATATGCAACTTAG